TCACTCTTCTTTAAGCCAAAATTATTGTTGTAGGTTTATAACAATGATTGTCTTGATTTCATATTTGGATGTTTGTGTTACACTCACAACTATTAATTTTGATTTCAATAATACATGTATTAGAAAATAACACTTATTATTGAATATGTCAGACAACCCTAGCGTGGAGGGAACTTGGACGGCCGCGAGACGTTTAAGGTAACCAATTGTTGCTCCACCACTCATTGTGTTTTGATGCGAGATGTGGGCACGGGCGAGATTCAACGATGAAAACATCCTTGCGGACGATTTCTACCATTTCTCGGAATAACAGCCACCTTCCATCGAAAGTGCGCATTCCAGCGATTAACATAATAAATGAATGTAATTTTAAACATTTACAAAACTCCAAATTGCAGATGGCTCTGTTAAAAATATCCCATTATAGTATTTTTCTTAATTATAATAAGTACATAGGATTCTTTATTCTCAAAAACAATATATGAAAATAATAACATAATTCTTTTAGCGACTTTATCTTTTATATTACATTAAGAACGTTTAATGTGTGAAATGATTATATCCGATATAAAAATAATTTACTAATAAAATTATTGGTATTAAAGTCAATAAAAATATCTCGGTAACAGAGCTATAATAATAATCATGATTGTTGCACGAGAGACCTTTAACGAAAATAATAACAAAAACAAGATATTAATTACGCAATCAGGCGAACTGTACCAATAATAAAGTATTGTTCGTTCGAATCATGTAGGAAGCGGGTATATTAAAAAAATAATAGTCCATTTCAATAAAATCGGCTTAAAATTTAAACAAGCTAGCCGATTATACTTACATAGACATTGCAATGCTTAATTGAGTTCTCATAACGATATCATTGCCACCACGATTAACGTACAATCAAAAGATATTTTTATTAATGCTTTTGTCATATAAAAGGTCACATTATAAATGTTTCACAAAAAATGTACCTATAATTATGAGCAAAGAAATAATAACCACATTATTAAAAACGCAATAACAATCAAATGAGCTACCTTTAAAAAATATATAAAGAATGTTTTTCATTTCGTAGTTTACAATAAAATATATATTGCAAATTAGCTGTCCAGTGCCCACTCCATTTATGATAACTTAATATCTTTTAATATGCAAACGAACTATTATTGTAAATGAAAAAACTATTATGTTTATTTCTATTTAATAAAAATATATAAACGAAAAAAGAAATTTCATAAAAATTCGCCACACCGGTAAAAAAAGTATCTACGCATTTTATGTTTTTTCTTCGGTGTAGTTTCGTTTAATAAGGTATCCTCTATCTCCATACCGAAAGTTATCAAAATTGATTCAGCGATATGGCATGAAATTTGTATTTACAATTTTAGCATGGATGGATTTAGACAAGCTTTATTATTTGACTAGCGGCCGCCCGCGACTCCGACTACGTTAACTTTAGCTCTTTCGGAATCCCACGGGAACCTGTAATTTGTCCGAGATAAAAAGTATTCTATGTCTCAATCTAAATCATAAACTATGTGCGTAAAGGAGAACAACCATTGTGGTACTAATCTTGTACAAACATATTTTTTTGATATTAGGTTAAGCATTAAAAAGTAAGTAATATAATTTAAAAAGTAGTTTTTGAGCTAATGGTGAAGCTCAAAAATATTCATAGTATAAAACCTTCAACGTATAAAGGAATATACATTAACAACAAGCTTAACAATACTGTATATTTTGCTCCTGCACAAAGAACTTGGTATCTGTACCAACTAGTGTTGCCAGGTGTCCCGATTTGCGCGGGACGTCCCGATTTGTACCTGATCGGGACGCTAAATGACCCGATTAATCAATAAATAAAATGAGGTAATTAATATAATACTACACTTGCACTAGTAGTTTAAAACGCATTAAATTATACCCAGACTTAAAAACCCCTTGTTTTTTGTTTACTGTCCCGATCTGCACCCTAAATCTCGATTTTTTTTGACCTCATGTACCGATTGAAAACAAATCTGACCTAGCAACACTAGTACCAATCCCCATGAAAAGAGATTTTTCTCCTTTAATCCAAATCCGTTCAGTATTTTTGCATGATTGAGCAACAAACACACAAACATTCAAACTTTCTCATTTATAATATTACATAGTTGGATAGTAGAATCTTCATGTAAGCTATTAAGACAAACAACGGTGAAACCAAAATAGCTGGCATTCGAGAAGCAGAATTAACACAGGTATTTATTTACTGTGCTCTCGCGGATTGCACCTGCTCACAAGCTTTTTTTAATTGTGTTTTTGCAAAACCCTCTACTTATATAGCCTTTAATTCGTACGACATTGTATCACGTATCAAGCAAAAGGATGATATAATTATTTTTAATCCGTTTCAAACCAACATAATTGCAAGTGTAAACCATTTTTTTTTGTCTCCACGTTTTTCTGAAAACCAAGGTTTTTTAATTACTCACGAGGAGTTAATAGACGAAAAATTACTAATAAAACGACTGAATTTGTATATGAAACGAAAAATAAAAGCAATTCAAACAACTTTAAATAAAAATCTGTTGCATTTCAATAATTTATTGCACATTCTGTTTCCCGCTAAGTTTTGAATCTCCGACACCACCTAGGTTGGCTGGAAGAGATCTCTTTTAGAGATAAGCCCACCTTTCCTTACTATGTATTTGACTATATGTTTAAAACTATATGATGCAATAAAGAGTATAATATAATAATAATTTATTTCAGATCATATCCATATTTTGTTAGAAACATTGTAAAGATTTTAAAGTTGTCATAACTTTCAGTGTAAGTACAACCCTAGTCGAACAAATGTGTAGGTAATAGTTTATCCGTTGTTTACCGTTAGCAATACAAGGGTTGTTTTGTGAACGAACGGTTACTTGAAATGTAAGTAGTAGGTCTCAAGGCACACACCAGCTTGGGGTCTTGGCAGGTGTTACCGGCAGATGTCGAAGTGGCAACGGCTTTTCAACGTATGAACACATTCACCTACTTAATTTAAACACGATTAGATAACATTCTGACGAATTCGCCTTTGAAGTTTTTAAAATATGAATTGAAATAATATAGATAATAATTAAGTAAATATCATAAACTTTCCTTGAACAAGGCTTAAAAAAATATTTAGTTTTCTAGATAAAAAGGTAGATTTATCCTTTTATTTCGAGATGTTTTTTTTAACTGCGCTTAGGAGTTAATCTCTATTATAACAACAACCTCTTAACTTTTTTAGTGTAATAATATTTGGATTAAGAAATAGATTCAAGCTGAAATCACATTTAATAATGGCGAGGTCTTTCTTATTATATTAAATCCTTTTCAACCGATATTACGACTTTATTGTACGTATTTAGTTTAAATTGTGGTAAATGAAAATCGTAACGTGCTCGGTGTGTGTTCGTACGTATGGTTTGATTCATGTGTTGCGTGGCGTTGAACATGTTTACGGTGAGAACACGTGTGCCGTCAGCCTATGGTGGCGTGGCGTGGTGGCGACATTCGCACATCTGCCGCGACACACATCAACACCATATCCTGTCTGTCATTAAACCTCCGGACGAGAAAAACGAGCCAATTCCCTCCCAACAATAACGTATTCCGCGCGACATATATCGCGGCGAATTAATCTCCAGCAGAAATTGCCTTCGCATAGTTCTGGTAACTACCTCGACCAGTGAATTGGACGCAGCAAACGAGCCGGACTCATTATGAACCAGCTCTGATAGTGACGAGTAAATCGAAATGGGAGTGAGTCTGATTCGCGGCGCCCGGGTGACAGCCTGAGATGGATTGTTGTCAACATTATTGCGGGAGCATATCGACTTGTCACTGTACCGGGCCCGAGTTGAAATCCCGTCTGAAACGACCTTACATCTCCACCTAACCAACGGACATTGAACCCAACAGCTTATGCTATAAGATTCCATTTGCAACTTCACTGTTTCATCGCATGAGATTCCAAGTCCGACATTAACCATTCGCGTCCAGAAGTACATCAAGCGGGAACGCTGACAATCGAATTGAAACTCAGCAACAAAAGGGCTCAAGGTCCACAATTAAACGCGAGAGATTGCTTTCGCGCCGGATTACGGGCTTATTCGTGCCGCCGCGGCAATTAGGAAGTCATTCATTAGGGTCCCTAAGTTTCGCAGACGTGGGGGTGCCACGCCCGTGACGTCACGCTCCTTCTTTCGCAACGCGACGTTGTACAGACTACTTGAATATTCGAATCGCTTTACTTGTTAAACCACACTATTTGTTTAAAACAAAAGTAGCTTTATTTAAGTATGCTGCTACGGCGATGGAGCGCACAATGCAAACAGAAGCGAGTCCGGACAGCCCTCTTCTTCCCGTTGCGGTGGCGCCTCAGTGAGAGACAAGGATGGTGATGTACGCATCAAAATAAACCCTCGAATTCGGTGTAGTAGATACAACCATAGATCGCATTTTGGAGCGCGAGATAAGGATGCAAGATGCGGTTAGCCGCGTCCCAGAATGCATCTGTCAAGTTTCACAAAAAATGGGGCCCAGGAATTTCGGGACGTCTCAGCAGCACCGGGACACATGTATGCTCGTTTATTTTTTACCGCACGAGTAAATTCATTCAAAAATTGTCAACGGATAGGGAGATTTGTGTAATCTCGTTAAAGTAATAGCAGTCAGCCGGGTTAACAACCAATTTAGCGACCATTCAAGAATCGACTTTGACATTTTATTGTGGAACTTATAGTTTTTGTGAAGTATCAACAACTGGCCGTTGTTATTTTTTATAGCTCGGTGGGTTCAACTAACTAGAGCTTGCGACTGACGGTGTTTCTAATACGATCGGTGTTCCTAACGCATAATTTCTGATCGGAACATGTTTATTATGATAGAACAATCGTGAGAAAAGCGAAGGACCTGGCGTATCAATGAGTTTTCGCTTTTAGTGATCCGTTTCCGGCGTGTGCAGCGTGCGGCGCGCGTTACTAGGCGCGCAGCGAAGTGCAGGAGGCGAAGCCTTGACCCTGACTCGGTGGCGTCGACCGGAACGCACGCCGCGAATCTCGCCGATACCCACTGCCTAGCCAGTGTTGTGATCTTAATACATTCCGTTCGCACGTGTGACTTGACTCTGTTTTCTCTTTCATTTCTCTTATCGTTAGCCTAAACTACATCCGAACATTACCTAGTAAATAAAGTATAACAATAAAAAAAAATGCTTCCTAATAATGAAAGACCATTGTCCAAAAAAGGTAATTGTGTAAACTTGAGACACCGTAATGGATGGATAGCGATAAAATCGAGAGTAGTACTAAAAAAACGGGAGTATTAAATGATGAGGAGTAAACAGAGGCAGGAGAGGGGTTGGCAGTCATTGAAGTGGAACCGGTCCGGCCTGTCATAGAACCGGATTGTGACGGGGATGAATTACTCACCGAAACGTTGGAACTTTGTTATGAGTTCTAAATAACATCGCCTGGACGCCGCGTCCACACAATGTAAATTTCAAAGCTGATTTCTTAACTTTTAGAACGCTTTGTATTCATAGAACCGTCGTTGTCCTTCTCAAACCTTGTTCTACAGTCTGGAGTGAGAGAACACAAGAATTCTGTATTGTCACTGAGAACGAAGTTTGAAATAATTTAGAATGCAAATTCAATTATGGTCACATACCTATACATCGTGAATTTTGAGCTACCTGGGAAACTAAAAAATCGTACAAATAAAAATAGTGAGAACAGTTATACACAGCAAGCGTACTACAAAGATATACAAAAATATTGATTTATACCTTGAAAATACCTATTAACAGCGTATTTTGTTTCCAACATTATTATACGTTTAATTGCAATAAATAGATCCTAAAAGTCTTATTTGGATGAATTTATAACAGCTAAAATTTATAAGCTTTGATAATTGAATAAGAATAAAGTTGACGAGTTAACGTAAAGTGTTTTTTACCGGCGAGTTGAGTCTGAATTCGCCAGTGAATCTGAGGTGTATAATGTACGAGTGACCAGTGATCAATCAATTCTTGTTTTAGTCAACGTACCGGCGGTACTTCCAAATGTCTTAAAATAGAAAATAATGTTGCCGACACAAAAGACGGCACATAATCCAGTGACCGTATTCCGTACATGTCGAAATACACTCGATACCACTTTTTGCGAGGCGCTTTAAATTGCTCATCCAAGACATACCGCGAACTGCCTGTTTTCTTACAAAAACCTGCATACGAAAGATGCAAAACATCGTGAGGTGCCATCACAAATCAGAGAACAATCGCGCCGACAGGAGGTCCGATCGACATCCATCGGCACAATCGAATCGAGTATCGATAGCGAGTTTGTACCAGCAGGATGTGACGTCACACCGGCCGTAAACGCGAGAATTTTAAACAACCTTCTAGTTGTAGTCATTACCTATCGTTAAAGACAAAAGATGACTCCTTTTTTATAAATACACACAAGGAATAAGGTCTGCAATGCAAATTTTCTTGTGTGAAGGATATTGAAATTGGTATTCATGTCATTTGATAGACTGTTGCTAAAAGACCTTATTTTAAAATGACAAGAGAACCGTCTGTTTGCTTGAATCTTGACTTTATTATCGATGTTAAGGGATTAACCTTTAACAGCAGTCTGAGAACGAACTTAAAATGGCTTTCATGTAAATCAAACATCTACCCCTATTATTTTGATACAAAAAAATGCTAAAATAAAAATAAGGGTGTGCATAACATACTTCTCCAAACTGGCAGGTAAAGATTTGCACGAAAAAGTTCATTTAAGTGTAAAAGAAGATTTACAAAAAAAGTTCTACATGAACAAACATTAGTACGTGTACGAGTACGTAAGTAAGCATTGAATTACAAGCTATTGTTACGGAATGGAAGAGCAAAAAGGGGAATTATAGAATTTCTATAGGCGTTCTGGGAACGGATTTAATGCATATTTTTTATAACAACATTCAAATGTCGATGAAAGATACGAGAAAAGATGAATACTTACACCAATAAAAGAAGCATTCAAATAAAATCAGTTAACAGTAGTTTGTTAAAGAAAATATTTCATCAGCCAGTAGGATTTGATACAATCAAACGGGACAGTTCTTTCCCAACCGAATACAACTATCAGAGAGTTGAACACAAACAAACAGACGAAGCAAACGTCCTAAATATATCAACATAACCCACATAACTACGCATGCGATGCGATGCCACCTTATCGCAGCAACCGGTCGGAGCTTTGCTGCGTTAAGTTCGCCGGGGCGTCGAGCGGCTGGTAGTTCGACAAGGTTGCAAGTGGGTACAGCTGCGTTTTTTTGCTCCGGTTTCACGATTCCTGTCTGGAAACTAAAGGGACTATGTATAAGTATAACGTGTACCGTGGTATTATTGTTCTGTGGGAAAGGGAATGAATCTCCGCCAGTTGATGTAGGTTGTATGCAGGTTGGTTGGTAGTTCGCAATTTGAGACGCTTGTATCTTTCTATTAGAGCGAAAGAGAGAGAGTACTTAAGCAATTTTGTGAGCAGCAAGTTTCCTTTTGAATCCTACTTATGTTTATGGGTGTTTGGATTTATGTATGTTTGTTATACTCAATCGTCGGTGTACAGATTTGGATTGTATTTAGATCTGGTGTATGTATCAAGATTTTCATTGAAATTAATAAAATCATAATATTCTCTACAGATGTACCTATTTGAAGTTCGTGCACACCTGCATTTCAGCTTTCACGTGACTTTCATTCAGCCGATTACGTTTTTCGATTATAGCTCGTTTATTACGCTGAAAACACGTTCAGCAGCGGTGTTTCCGGTTGGGATTGATTGAGTGAATGTAATCTAATATACAGAATTCTTTTGTCACGGTGTGCGTTATTGAACTACTCCGAAACGGCTCCACCGATTTTCGTGAAGATTTATATGCATCATACACAGGTCTGAGAATCGGACAACATCTATTTTTCATCCCCCTAAATGTTAAGGGTGGTCCTTAAATATTAAACTTATTTTTTTTTTGGACAAAACTTTTTTTTTTATACATGATAGGCAATGCGTTTGACTACAATCTCACCTAACCTGGAAAGCGATGATGAGGCCTAGGATGATACACGCCTGCCTAGAAGATGCCTGTTCACTCTGGCCTTGAAGATGCCCAGATTATATTGTTTTTATGATACATCCCACAGAAATACATACAACCCTAAATTTTCACCCTTCTACCACCAACCCCTATTTTTTATGGCGGGACGAAGTTCGTTGGGACAGCTTAATAAGGAATTCCATAACCATACTCTGAAATTCAATTGTGCACTATTATGTAAATTAATACTGATAGAAATTGAATTAGCGAGACTCTAATCCACATAAGCAGTGGTTACTGTGAAAAACCATACAATAAAAGAGGATGGAGAAAAATCTGGAAAGCAATATAAGGACTTTATATTAAGTACAGTAGGACTCAAAATCGCTTATCTAATCTACTACAGTATAAATTAATTTGAAATGATTATTGATTAATCGTGCGAGTTGTAGGTTGAATTATGTGGGAACAATCGGGAGTTGTGGGTTCAGTTCCTGTGCGTAACCAATTGTTTGATGAGATGATGATGTGTTATAGAATCATTAGGATGTAAGATGGAGATTTTTCCGAAATTATGTGCTTGACTTGACATAGGGACAATAAAATTGCGTGGCATAATATAGCAAGGAATGCATACATTTTCTAATTTACCTATTTATTTTGTGAAAATATCTACCTTTATGGTAGAAATTTAACTTTTTAGGGTTCCGTAGTCCTGATAAGGCCCTTATAGTTTCGTCATGTGCGTCTGTCTGTCTGTAACCGGATTTTGCTTGAAGATTGTTAGCACTAGAAATCTGTAATTTCGTGAAGATATTTTTAACAATCACGCGGACAAAATGGTAGAATAAAATTGTGAAAAATATTTTTTTAGGGTAGCTCCCCTACATGAAACCTGGTGATGATTTTATTTTTTCATCTTCTACCCCATCATGTGGCGTATCGTTGAAAAGGTCCTTTAAAATTACTTAGGGGTTCCTAAGACAATTTTTCGATTCAGGGATCCGTTTGCGAAATATTGAACTTTAAAGTGCTAATTTTTGTTCGCTAAACTATTGACTTGAAAAATTCTTATAATAGTCCTTTTCATGAACTAAGGAAAATTATAACGGTTGATATAGATTTGTTAGTTTAAGAGTAATAGTCGTTCAACTAATGCATTAGAACATTTCTGTTCTAATAACATATCCTTATAAGAAAACATTAAAAGTGATTTAGTACCAAAGACCAAAAATATATTGTGGTGACGACGAGCAACTACGGAACCATATACTGCGTGTGGCACGACACGCACTTGGCCGGTTTATTTAATAAGTTATAATTATAACGATAGTTGTAGTTTTCAAATCAAATAGTTATTAGAATTTCCTTAGAGTACCTAGCAATTGCTATCAACGATGTTTCTTGGTGGGTTCAATGAACTCGGGTCACCGAAATATCGAAATATGTATCTACTATCATGAGCAGTTTTTTTTAATTGTATACGACTTTTAGGTTTGATTAATTACAACAATCTAGGTCAGGTCAGTTCTGTACGGAAAGTCACATCAGACATAGGAGCTTTATTCATTATCTAACAAATCAATGTGTAACAAACAGGCAAGCCACATTACATCACGACGAAAATCATGCGCGTGCACATCTTTAAATCATCAGTTTCATGTTTATACTTTATACTTATCTACGTATTATTTTTATATAAAAATTAGATTTGTATTTTTCCTTATTAAGCTACCGAATTGAGATTAAAATAAAATTACTTAGGTAAGATAATCTTATCTAAACTAAGGTAAGTCACATCTTTTCATCATTCAATTTCTGCAGAAACGAAGTCTAGTAGAGCAAGCTTTGTAAACCATAGCTTAACTAAAGTGACAAACGAAAACAAACACATCTATTGAAGTCACTCACTACAATAAAGCTTATCAAGATGTTATATCATGGCGTAACACGTTCTCAAACGATTTTAGGCTTTATACTGATCCCATAAGGTTCATTACTTAATTCTTTCCTAGACATCATGCATATAATAACATTTCCCTCCTTATTACAAGGTAATAAAAATTAAAAGTCGGTTGGAGAAATTACACAGTTTTGTATAACTTAGCCTGTTGTTGACAGTACAATGAGACAACGGCGTCGAATACCTACTATGAGATTTTCACTATTATTGCGTAGACATTAAGAACGATAATCGTTTTACAAGTAAATAGACTAGTGGATACTACCTAATGGGGGTTGTGTAGCGTTATTAATTATTTAGAACCCAGTTAACTAAATTCAATGACTATTTGCTTACGTTAGCTACTTTTGATTAACTATTTTTTTTCATTACTTAATTATGTGTAAAATAGTTTTCGTGTTTATGAAATCTGTAACGGTAATTGACTCGACTCGACCGTCAAATTAAATAGAATACGGGGGTGAATTGCAAAATGATGAGGTGCAAGCTTAACGTTGTGAAAATCGATTCTCTAAGCCAGTGCAGGGAATATTGTGATGGAGCATTGAAATCCAGATAAGGCACTCTAGAGGGCTTTTGTCGGCATTTTTTGCTCAGGCAACCCAAGGGAAAAAAAACTCATCCCTCGAGCGTGATTTTTTGCTACAATCTTACCTTTTAATTAACAGATGCCTTTTACCGTTCCGGCATTTAGGAGAATTCCCTAAGAACAGGTAGGTATAAATGGAACACGAGATTTTGATTGTGGCTATCCTCAATTATTTGATAATAGTGATATTATGCAACTACCTACTTAGATAATTATTTTGTGTATTTTTTCGTAATTTTTAACTAAACAGGAAATAAAAGTTTTAATGTAAGTAGGTAGGTACTAGGTACGAAGTCAGTAATAATGAAATTTTCTTGCCAACAACCGCTTTATTTACTCGGACTGAAAAAGTTCGGTTTGATAAGATAAGATGGATAGGTACCTACCTATTTCAGTAGGTTGGATATGCACACGTTTTAATGGTAATAAATTAAATTTGATAATACTAGACTGTAGGTAGGTTATATGTGTTCTTAAGTCAAATACCCAAGTTAACTGCTACTTCCAAATTTTACAAACGAACATATCTATTTATAATTTCAATTATTACTATCAAGAATAAATTCATTTTGAATGGATGATTGATGATTCGAATGAATAGACATTGTAAATTATCCAGAAGATTTAGTCTATTTTATGGATATTTTTCAAATACAATTTTCCAAATACATGAATATTTTGAAAATGAATTTTGAAAATTATCCAGAAAATAGACTCAATCTTCTGGTTAATTCTATCCAAGTATCAACGTAGCTAGTAGTATGTTGTAACAACCATGTTATCGTTTTTAGTATAAACAAAACATAACAGTCAATTCAACACATGGGCAAACAATGAAGCTTTTCATTACGAGTTTCACGTCGCAAAAAGCTGTCACGAAGTACCCTTTACTACGACATGAACGTACAGACAACACCTTACCTTTGTTAAATTTAAATACTACAGACTTTCTACAGCACGAGGGTACACAAATAATAAATGAAATTTGCCGCATTATTTCGTGCCGTTCAGCCGAGACGGTTAGCGAATGCGGCGAGACGAGCTAAGGGTGTTGGTTTTGATCGAACATAACCTATACCGGCGTCGCGTCACGTGCGACCGCCCTTACATAAGGGTGGCGCTGTCATAACCTCGCGACAGCTGTTCCACGCCAGATTCCTGATCAAAATACTCTCACTAACGACTGCATGATAAGTGTTTTAAAGATATGGTGCACATACCTTGTCTGCCGACTATCTCCGCTACGTGTTCCGATGACGGCACTGGCACGCATTCGGTCATGTTCTGCGACTTCTTGGCGCGATCGTCCGGAGGTGGCGCGAACCCCAAAGGGCTGGCCAGCGGGTTCGCAGATGGCAAGCTGTCACCGAAGTTCAGCATGCTGAGCTCGAGAGCGAGCTGCAACGCGCGCTGGTCCTCCACCAGGCCGCCCCCACCGCCCAGCTCACCGAAAAGGCTTGTCGGCATTTCCACTTGTGAAGCTATTTTGTCGGTTACAGAGAGGTCGCCCTCTCGCACTTGTTAAAATGTCGTACGTTTCTTAAGCGGCGGCGCGTTCGGTCATGTGCGCACGACGCGTGTGTCTGTGGCGCGGCGCGGCGGTGAACTGAGTCGCCGGCCGGCGCGCGCAGGCGCTTTGTCGCGGGGTGGCAGGGTGCGAGGGCGCGGACGCGGGGCGCGGGGCGGGGCGCGGCGATGCAGGCAGGCAGCAGGCAGACTGGGCCGCACCGCCACCGCCACCGCCACCGCGCCGCTCTGGGCGGCATGCGGCGGTTTCCGCCCGCCCTGCCAGGACTTTACACCTTGCGCGGTTAATTGCCGAGCTTATGTCGTGTCATGCCGTATGTGGATGGATTGATTGCGTTGCCTTGTTCGTTCTCAATCAATCTGTGCATTCGATATCAATAATGAAAAAAATACCTATATGAGCAACTTTTTATTATAAACTATTTAGGTGTTGTTTATGACAGTAAGCAAATGTAAATAAACATTTATAGGAGTAAGTAATAGACTTTTGTGATTTTATTGCACAAAAAGTCAAAACGTATTTTTTTCTGTTTGAACAGTTGGTAATATTTTATTGTTATAATATCGAGAAATAAAATGATGTGCAATTTATTTATCATAATACAACATTCAACATACTTGACTTTTTCTTTTTGAAGAGCTAAATATTTTAATAAAATATTTTTAAAATATGGCATGTTTTATATTAAATAAAAAAAATCCTCGTTTGCTTTTCTTGGTCTTAGCAACAAAGGTAAGTTTTAAGTAAATAACGTAGCTAGATGGTGGCACATTATGAGTGGTATAAACACTGTTCAGTACTAATGATAAATAGAATAGTACATTGCCGGCGAATAACTACTTTCGATATTATGTTTTTTATTTTTTAAGCATTTAGATCAGAGATTATTAACATCTAGCAGATGTTTAAATCTAAAGAAAAGTATACTAGAGAAAGTATAAAAGTATACTTTCGACATTTTTGAAATTATTCTAATTACCCGGCAATGTATAAATTTCTATTAAATACTTGGCCTAACTAAACAATGTATATACCAGCCATAAAAATAAGTTTTAGGACTGAAGAAGCCTAGTACGATGCTAAAAATATCGCTCTCTGAAAAACTTGCACATCCAGAACTAGGTAACTAAATTGTCAAGAAACTCGGAAATCTAGTGGTCAAAGGCATGAGTCATGGTCCTGTGATGGCGACCCGCCACCGGAAGTGAGGTCAGAATATACCTAAGCCCGCCGGCGAATAGAGAAACTCAGTACGTACAGATTTGATAAAAGGCCACCGATAAATTGTGACCCCAGATAAGTATCATTCAATTTCTCAGAAATTCACAAAAATTGTTTACATTATAATTTAATAATTGCAATGTTTCACTTTGTTTCGGTAAGTGATAAAACATATACCTAATACCTAATTTTTGCATAAATAGCTTTACCTACGTCATCGCATCGGTTTGTCACGAAGTTAACAGAGCATCAAACTCGGGAAACCACTGTTGACAGTACCATTAAGAGCCCTTTCACATTTTTTGCAAAAAAAACTTTATTTTTGAGTGCCTCGTTTACTCCCTTAGAAAATATTTTGACTATTTCCAATAGAAGGAAACAGTAGATTTATTCTTCCTATTGTAAGTTAATGTACAATATTTGCAAATACTATTTTCCTTTTTTTGTACTTATTGTCTACTGCTGCTAGTTTACTGAAGAAACGATAGTATGCGCAACTTCAAACGCCTCAGTCTCTCAATAATGTTCAATAAATTAGATCAAATTAATTACTACGACCTCAGAAATATGTTTTTGTTGTAACATAATGTACCTATAAGAATTTTGATTTTCCATCTCATTAATTATCAAAAAAAAACATCTTACCATCTTAGAGGTAAGATGTTTATGATGAAAGGACATAGGATAGTTTTTATTCCAGAAAACATCCTTTAAGGGGATGGAAATTTGTATGGGAATTCAATTAAACCACGCAGACGAAGTCGCGGGCTCACGCTAGTTTTTTCTAGTATATCATAAACCACCTTATTACAAAACGTAGACTAAATAAAGATTAAGCTGTACTAAAACCGATGCTGTCACTTTAATTTGATAATAAGAAGACAGAGACAAGTAGATATAATTAAACTAAGACTAATGGCTCAAATACACTTGATCATTACCCGAATCCGAATCAATATTTACACTGAAATACAACACAGAACAGTACCCTAATGCCTTGATCACACGTACCGAGCAAACGAGCGAGACAGTGCTCTTGGCCGAGTACTCGGTACGTATAAACATAGCGCCGAGAGCTCGACCGAGCGCTCTTAGATGAGTTTTTAACTTCCATCACTGTCTCAGCCGAGTAACATTTTACTGTCTCGCCCGTTTATTGGGTACGTGTGATCAAGGCATTAGCACGAACCATTATCGAATTCGAATAATTTGCGAGTGCGAAATGTCACTGTCATATGTGTACTGATTTTAAGTTCTCGTTACTAGGGGTACTGGGATGGATAAAAGTACCCGAATACGGGCGTACTCGACTCCGTTCATTTACACTTAGTCGTTTACCCGAATTACATTGGCACTCGTGTTCGGGCTAGCGACCAAGTGTCAGTGCGCAACATTTTGGAACTAGTTGGTTTCATCATCATCATCAGCCTATTAATGTCCCCACTGCTGGGGCACAGGCCTTCCCTTTGGATGGAATAGGGAGATAGGGCCATGATCCACCACGCGGCCCCAGTGCGGATTGGTGGGTGCTAACGACTGCAGATGCAGCCGGGACCAATGGCTTAACGTGCCTTCCGAAGCACGGAGGAGCTCGAGATAGTAATTTTTGGTCACCCATCCAATGACCGACCACTGCGAAAGTTGCTTAAGTCAACAATCGCAGCCGAACGCGCTAACCACTTGCGCCATCGAGCTCCTAACTAGTTGGTTAAATTCGCCTGAATACGATTTTGATGGATTTAGTCCGAATCGTTAGTAACTCGAAATTAGCATACAGATAAGCTCGATTAACACAAAGCGTACAATAATATTTATTACGGATCTCCTACTTATGTTAATATAAACGAAGTAACGAAAAGGAATATTACATCTCTCAAGTTAGTAACGATATCCTTTTCACAAGTTCCAAGCAAAGCCTCGTGTCAACGACCCCATATTTAGGTTCGGTCGGCATATTCTGCGGGGAAATAATAGCGATGACTTGCTCGCTCTACACACTAAACCCGACAGTTTCCCCAACTATTTTGTCGATGCTAGAGACATAAGTACCTATAATGCGATTCAACTAAGAATAGGACAGACTGGGCGCCAATACTAAGATTAAGTGAGAAAAAGCATCAGATTTTTTTAATAACATTTATTTACTAAGATTGAGAAAAAAAAACCACCGATTATTAATAATATTTATTTGACTGTGAGAAAAAACATTAATCAGAATCTAGCTCTTCTATTCTGCTCATCTCTGCATTACCGCCGGAGTAGTTATGAATAATCATGCACTATTACTAGGTCACATACGAACATGCATCCTTTATGTAAACGAAAGTTTGAAATCGAGTTTCTGAACGCAACTTTAAGTGACATTTGGTTGGCGATTTAGGTTATCAACCATTCATGGCCAAAACTCAATAAGTGAAAAAAAAATATCAACCGATATTAATTATCAATATTTGTTATTGTTTGTTTATAAATGTTTGGTTTTAATTCTTGAATTAGCGTAGTGCTAAAAAAGGGTTCCAAGATTTTTTTTGCAAGCCGTACTTTTCAAGCGACATTTGACAGATAGAGGTCATTGGCTTTCCTATTCTTATTTGAATCGCATTATACTATCTACGATTCAATATGTACCTTTTAAGTTTTAAGATCATATTATTTAGTTTAAGATAGCTCTCAGATTGCATGTAAGTATTTTGCTGATATCTCACAACTGTATTCAAATTTGCAAAATCTTTGAGAAGTGTTTTTTTGCACCAATTAGCCTAGCCCCAATAGGCTTGCGTTAAGGGATGCTAGGGTAACGGATAGAATACATACATCAAACAAACAAACAAACAAACAAAATAATTTTATTTGACACAGTAGGCTTAAAATAGGTAGGTACATTTTCAATTTACATGAAATTATTTAAATGAATATCTATAAGTAACAAAGGAAAATAATCAGTATGTATTCTATCCGTTACCCTAGCATCCCAAAAGTATCAACTTATTATCAAGACGACCTCCGTGGCCGAGTGGTTTGTACGCCGGGTTTCATGGCGTCGCCGACTCGAGAGGTCCCGGGTTCGAATCCCGGTGGGCGCAGATGTTTGTGTGATCAATACGTGCATTTGTACTCCAGTCATGGATGTTTAATATGTATTTCTATATAAATATACTTATATATGTACAGTATATGTATTCTATCCGTTACCCTAGTATCCCATAACACAAGCCTTATAGTGCTTACTTTGGGCTAGGCTAATTGGTGTGTGTGTTGGAAATATTTATTATTTATTATTATTATTTAAGCATATTTATATAGAAATATCCATGACTAGAGTACAAATGCTCGTATTCATCACACAAACATCTGCCCCCCCCGGGATTCGAACCCGGGACCTCTCGAGTAGGCGATACCTTGAAATCCGGTGTACAAACCACTGGGCCACAGAGGTCGCCTTACTTAAAAAATTACGACTTTTGTTTGCAATATAAGGTAGCTTGTAATGAATACTTGAGTAAAAAGTAAGACTAGTTTTATTTAATATTTAACTTTTTTTATTTTTATCTAAAACAAGTTTCAACGGTCACCTAGTCATTAGTCATAATATTTATTGCTTCATGTTGGTTACATTTAGTTCTTAAATTTAATAACAACTCGCAAACATGGGCATTGCAAATTATAATTAAAGTATACAAATATTAATTTAAAATTTGATAAAGTTACAATAGTTATT